CATGGCCTAAAATGTCTCCTAACACAATATTTTGATGTAAGGCTGGAGAGCATTTAAAATTGCATATATCCTACATACACCCACAATATAAGTATAAGTTAGATTTCTGAAAATGTCAAAGCTGTGCATGACAAAGACATTCAATTTAGAAGGCACTTCATTGCGGACATCACAGTTTTCAGTTCGTAATCTTTAAAGTTTTTTAATTCTACATCGTCACTTGTATGCATTTTTAAAGAGCAACGGAAAGCTGGGCGCCAAAAGCAATGGAAGGGGGCTAAACAACAACAAAGCTGACAGCACTCGAGGGCATATGGACGGGGACGAAAAAAAACTGGGGTTCAGCAATGAGTTGCCTGAAGTTTTAAGTGGATGTTGACGAATGATAGTTTCTGTGGCAGCAGCTGTTGGAGCAACATTTTTGGCGTTTCAGTAAACAAATTTATTAATTTAAATGAACTGTACGAATTTGCTGTGCTACGTATTTCGTTCGCTAACAGCAATTGAAGTTTGTTTAAACTAACTAACTAACATTTTGGTAACCTCCAAGTTTAATTTGAAGCAAAATAAAACTGCCATAACATTTCATGCGCAAACTCCGGGGTACATAATAAATTAGATTACAATTAACAGAGCACCAGGGCTCAGTGGGGACCGTTCTCATACTGCTCACATTTATACATTTTTAATTGCTGCCCGTGCATGTTTGATTTGCTTTAAAATAAGTCATAAAAGTGCTAACAACAAACAACACATAAGAGTCAATAAAAATTAATACAAATAGGAAGCTGTATGTGAAATTATAAATATGCATGAAGCCCACCTGTCGCCATATTGGGCCATAAAACTCACATATGTATATAGTATATACTTGTATGAATATGGTGGCTGCTGGTATCAGCTGGCCAACTGGATCACCTTGTGACGCAGGGACAGACCCAGAAGCAGTCTGGAATGAATTTTATATGGAACTCGATGTTCAAGTTAAAAACAGCACTTGACAATAATTTCAAAATCCTACCAAGCACAACTGTTGAAGCTTTATAGACATACCTTAAAGGATACATAAAAGAATGCATTTTACTGTTCTAGATATTATTCTAAATTCGCTAAATTCACTATAAAAATGAATGTCCCTAAAATATTAAGAATAATATTTAATATCCCTCAAATTTTAAGAATAATATTTTCTAAATGTCAGTACTAATGGTAGTATGATAAACGACAGAAAGCAAAGTACGTTGTTGTTGAGGAAAATGATTTCTTAGTTAAAAAAAAAAGTAATAAATACTAAAAGCAGCAAACCAACAGCTCCTAGTTAAATAGCGAGGTAAGATCTAGGACCAATTGTCAACTTTTGTCAAAGCGTTTATTAGCGTTAGGTAAATATATTTTTAGAAATATTTTAATATTAGAATATTTGTTTAATGCACTTGCTTTTCCCATTAGTAACTTATGTGTTTTTCTTTTGTTGGTGTTGATGTTCTTTCTTTTTAATAAGTAAGACTAAGTTGTTGATATTACCTTGGTTTAGGCTTTCTTTAAATTTGCAGAGTCAGCTTACCTGTAATGAAAACAAATAAAGTTTTGAATTAGTTATTAAAAAGACCTGAATATTGTGCCCCCAAATCAGCTTCAAACTAACTTAGACGTCAGTGATTTTCTATATATTTTTTCATTGTATCTAAAGTGCTGGCCAGTCTAATTTACCAACCATTCACGAAACTGCAGCACATCAAATTTTTATCAGATTTATTTCAAATAAATTAAAGCTTGTTTGTTTTCAAATTCCGGTGCTTCGACAAGTTTGCTTTTGTTTTTCCACTCCGCTGTGCTTTGCTGCTTGTCTGCGCTTTTTGTTTTAATGTGGACCGCATCATACAATAGATAAAATCGAAGTGAATAACAATTCCAAATCAAAGTGCTGCATATTTAAACGAAATCGAAATGCTAATAGAGTCATTTTATTGAAGAGCATTCAGTTTCAGATATATTAACATACTTACTTCATTTCATGTGCGAGTATACGCGTTTGTGCAGGCATTGCTGTAATTGCACATTAATTTTCGTGCGGTATTTTCAATTAAAATGTCAAATACTAGGGTAGCTCATTAATAACACATTTTGCGCCAATTTGGCCATTTATAAAATACCACACCAATCTCCTACTAGTGTTAGTGTGTGTGTGTGTGTGTGTGCCCGAGACTGCGCACTTTTTGCACATAACTCAGTGTCGATATTTATGAGGCCAGCAGCCAAACGGGTCGCAGCCCACACATATAGTAAGGCTCTTAAAAAGTGTTATAAGTACACCACACATGCTGCGCTCATAGACGTATGTATGTACATACGAACATAATATACATCCCTACATACATACATACTTATGAATAAATATATATGGGTTTTTAGTCGTAGGCGCCCCACAACAATTCTTAACCACTCAAAATCAATTAAGGCTGTGATAAAACTGGGTTATACATTCGAAACAAATTGGGTAAACAACTTTAGCTACCTGATATATGTATGTACATGTACAAGTATAGTATATACACACATATATAACCCGGCTTACTGAACTCTCGGAACACGCGTACTGCTCTTTTTTTAAGCTAATGACATTCCTTTGCAAAGCTAAGTCCGAAGCTGATCGCTGGCAAGCGGTAGTCGACTTTATACAAAAAATGGCACATTAATTAAGCTTTTAAATATATTTTATCCGCCGTTCCATTCGTTGCCACACAAATGATTTCTTTTGTTATTGTTTTTTCATATTATTGTCCCATGGCCGGCTGAAGCATTTTTTAAATGAAAGTGCAAATGCAATAAAACAGCAAAACACTTTACAAGCAGTTAGTGGAGAAAATGTAAATGTAAATGCAAATGCAAAAACAGCAACAGTACCCGTAATAAGATTTACGCACTGACCGCACATTAATTAAAATATTAAAGTCAATCAAGCACATCAAAGAAGATTAATTTTGCGTATGGCGGCAAACATTTTAAATGGCCATGACAATCGTGTGTATGTAACACTTATCAAGGGGGCGGTTTACATTGAGGAAGTTGGCCAGTTCATCGAAATAATACTACTTGTAATACTAGCGAATTGTTTTATACTTGGATTTGATTGATGGATGTATGAGGTTATAGTAGTTTTCAAAATCGAGCTCTAATAACCATGAATATGCTCGTATAACATATCTATAAAGCACTGATTTCATCGCATTATTCAAGTGCTATAGACAAGGTCGAAACATATTCCCGGGCTGCCTATTTAAGCTTCAATATAACTCATTAATAGATTTAGTTTCTGACAATTCGCAGCAGTAATTGAGAAAAACTCTAAAAAAATCAGTTAATGAAAAAACATCTCCAATGTTTATTCATGGTGCTACGAGGTTTAATTTCCAGGAACTAGGTCTTATATTGTATGAATGAATATAATAGCCGTTGTGTACATCGGTCGGATTCTGAGTTTCTTTAATGGCCCTATTATAGTATAAACATTATCATACATATTCATGCGTCAACCACTGAAACAAATAGTCCATGGAATGATGTCTCCCTTGACAGTTTCATGTCAGTCAAAACAAAATAGGCACAGACGAATGTTAATATGTATGGGCATAAGCTTGAAAGAGACCGCCCAGGCAGTCGTGCGGTGTCAAAACCAAATTATTGAATTCAATTCCATAATAATAACAATAACGATATGTGTACACGACACACGTTTTCAAGTGCTAAAGCAATGATGGTGGGGGCAAGGCGGCATTTGAGTTACCTACATTATAAGGTCTATAAGTAGTTCCGCATGACACGCAATTCGTTCAAAGCTGTCAAATTTGTTGTCAGTTTTAAAAGCATCTGTATGTATGTCAGACCTTTTTAAACATGGCCAAATGAAGCATTTGAAGTTATTGCCGGCAAGCAGACATAATTTATAGTTGCTCGTTGATAATGTTCTAATTACGTATGTACGTGGGCGCGTGTCAATTTCGGGCGTGTTGATCGTGTTGTGGTAAGTTGTTCAGTGGCCAACGAGCATTGGGTGCTTGGCTAGTTATTAGTAGTTAAGACATGTCAATTTGATTAGCGTGCGTGTGAGGAATGTCCAATTGTTCATGGGGAGGGAGCTATGACGTCGAAGTTGGCTACTACCTCTCAAATGTTTCTACCATAGCTTATCCATTCCATGACAAACAAAAGATAAACTTAATGGACGGTGGTATGGAAGTGAGCAATGTACACACATTAAAGCTGCCACTACTTAGTAGTTAATCGCCGGCCTTTCACCAATTTGAAGTCGGCGGAAATGCATTGAGCGTTAAAAAAACTGTTTGTTATGAAAGTTATGGAATTGTATAGAGTATGATAGCTGTACCTAAAAGAAAAGAGTTCCTTCCCACACTTTACGATTTAAATTACAGGTAGAAGAAAATTTACAATAGAGGGGTCGTGGAGGTGAATCAGGAAGTAACAACTTGCATTCATATTTTGAAATTGCATTGATCTGTCAAAACTTTTAGAAGCAATGGAAAAAGATGATGGTGGGGACACATGCAATTTCTAAAGGTATTTGAAAAGCTCAAGAGTTTCATCTTTAAAAAGAAGAATGTAAAATTTTTGCAAATTATAGTTGGTTGGTTCGCATAAATCGAACTGTTTCTAGTAGTATGCTCATATCTGTAGTCAGTCTGTAGTTCAACAGCAAACAAATGCGAGTACGCCTCGGCGAACCGAAGAACCGTTGGCAGACTGTAATGACTATGGCTTGCTCAGCTACCAGAAAAATCATTGACCAAGAAATAAATAAAGTATTGTCTCTAAATATAAATAACAAATGCGAATCAAATAAGAGCAAGTCGTACCGTCCCAGGGCGAGTTGCATTTTGAGAAGACTTCGGCGCTCCGAGTGCTGGGCGATGCAAACTCTTCAACGTGGCCAGCAGTACTTGCACGATAATTGGCAACAACGCATGCGACAAGTAGCATCTCATTAGCAAAAAACTATAGATAAAGGGAAACAATAGCAGCAGCAACTTATATAAAATGGCCTGCGTGACGGAGGATTTTGCGAAGAAGTGTGAAATCAAGCAGAATGAAATGCTGGGCAGGTGTGTAAAAGGACAGTTATTTTAATGTTCAATCTCCCCTAACAACTATTACCTGAAATTGCTCAGATTTGTGGTTGCTGCCACCAATATTAAGGCCGGCGAGACATTGCTGCTGGAAGAGCCAACACTGGTGCTGCCCAATGTGGGCGACAGACGCTGTTCTAACTGCCACAAGTTGACGAACACATTTTGCAGGTAAGCTTGAATATTGTTGGTTTTTTTCTTCGATCTATGCCACAATTTGTCTCGATGTTGCCAGCAAGTGCCAACTGTTGTCACTGTGCGACGAGTGTGCCCAGCACGAGACCTTTGATTGTACACGTCTGGCCGAGCTCAAGGCTCAGCTGCAGCAGGAAGAGGATGTACAAAAATTGCAGACGCACGCGGAAATTGGTTTGGCCCTTAAGTGTCTGTTGCTGCGAGAGAGCCAGGAGAAGCAGAGGCAGTTCGAGCAAATGCTGCAAATGGAAGCACATCTTGAGCTCAGACGCGGCTCGGAGATTTGGTGTAACTACGAGGAGCAGGTAGTGGCGCCATTGCAGGCAGCAGGATTGTTAGCGCACTTTCGCAATGGGGATCAGGTGAATGCGGATCTGTTGCAAAGATTGCTCGGCATTTTGGATGTGAATGCATTTGAGATACGAGCACCGGAGCGTGAAAGTGCCATGCGTGCGCTCTACGTCCGAGCCGGACTCTTCTCACATAGCTGTATGCCCAATCTGATGGCCGCCATTGACGATGAGCGACGATTGAAGATCTATGCTAATCGTTTCATAGCCGCTGGAGAGATACTCTACTATTGCTACACCAACGTTTTGCTGGGCACAGAGGAGCGTCGACACATTCTCAAAACGGGCAAATACTTTGACTGCAACTGCGCCCGGTGTCTGGACCCCACTGAATTGGGCACACATCTGAGCAGCTTTGTTTGCGCCACTTGCGCCTGCCCCGGCGGGTATGTAGTCCGTCAGCCAGGCTCGGGCGTGTGGCAGTGTCTGCTCAATGCGGAGCACACGCTCAAGCCGGAGTTCGTGGCAAATCTGCTGGAACGGGCCAAAGAGGAGATTTTTCATGCCAAGGACGACATCTATCGGTATGAATTGCTGCTGGCCAAGCTGAGTCGTCTGCTGCATGGCAATCATTATGTTATGCTCGATCTGAAGCAAAACATAGCCGCCATATTGAGGCAGATATTGCAGAATATGGCCCATCGCCCCAGCCGTAAAGTATATGAGCGAAAGATACGCCTATGTCAGGAGATACTGCTAGTTCTGAAGGTAATACAGCCAGGCATATCCCGTTTGAAGGCTATTGCTTTATATGAGTTGGCAAACACGCAAGCGGAGCTGGCCAGAAAATTATACAGTGAGCAGGAGTATGGTGCTGACGAACTGCTGGTAGGTTATCTAACCCTATTCCTTTGATAAAATTGCCAATAAATGAGAACCTTGTTTATAGGCAGAACTACAGAGAACTGAAATAATGCTTCGCGAATCCTTGCGCATGCTGTTGTATGAGCCTATAGCTACCCCGGAAGGAAACCTAGCTCGATGCATGCTGCGCGAGCTGAAAGAATTGCAAGAGGATATGAAATTGTTGCTGGTTCCAAGCGTTGGAAAAGCCAATTGAATTTAATTTCAAATAAAAGTGAGTCGTGGTCCACGTCACGGTTAATATTAGAGCGCTTCTGCTCGGAGGTGTTGACAGTTTTAATCATCGATCAAATAAAATTAAAAAATTCACAGTGCTACAAATAGTTGAAGACTGTTTGGTATCGTACATATTCGGTGGTACAAATAAAAGGTCGTTAGATCGATACTAAGTTTATCTAACTAATCAAGATTTTGAATGGAAACAAAGTGTCCCATATAATAGTAAGTATGATGTAATTTTTATTAAAACAAGAGAGAACGCTACAGTCGAGCAAGCCCGACAGTGAAATACCCTGAAATTCCAAAAAATAAAATAAACTCGTCCTTTCTAGGACCTAGGAGAATCTGGAAACCAACTTTGGTTATTCTAGCTTTTATAGTTTCTGAGATCCTTGGGTTCATCCAGACAGACAGACGGACGGGCAGACGGACGGACATGTCTAGATCGATTTCTCTCGTCATGCTGATTCAGAATATATATACTTTATTTGGGGTCGGAGATGCTTTTTTCTGCCTGTTACATACTTTGCACAAACCTAATATACCCTTTTGACCCTACGGGTACAGGGTATAAAAAGGAGGGAAAAAGTTCTCACTTACAGAGGCATACGAACGTAAATTTAGGTTCCCTCTGTTCCAATCAAAAGGCCACTTTAACAGAAGCAAATTGGCAAACAGAAACCTGAAACTCATAGCTAATTCAAGCGAAGGAGCAATGTACATAAGCCATTGTCTCAAAAAAGAGAGAGAGAAGAAACAATGCAAATCCATATAAATCTCAGCACAGTAGCAGCCATCAGAGCCGCCACAAAAGTGAAATTCAATGCACGCCATAGTTTACACGCTACAGTTTCACTAAAGGCGGGGGAAAAGTATCTGCAAGATACATATAAACATAGATACGTCAACTGCAAATCTGGGACCCATTGTCTACGAGATGGCAACGGCAACAAGCGACTTTCCACTCGAATTACAGCACCGAACGCTCAAATTTAAACTGTCAGCCGTCAATGTGAGGCTGCACATTTTCAACCTCAAACTGCTACGTTGCGAGTCTCGTCTATGGCTAAGACTAAGGTGTATAATTCAAAAGTGGCGACTGCCTGCACTCTAAGCTGCTTAAAAGTTATCTCCAACGGATTATGAACAATAACTTAATAATTCGCCAGCAACCATTTTAGTTGGATTCATGGCCGAAACTAGTAAGTAGTTGGTGGCTACTGCCAATTTAATTGTTAATAGTTTCTAGCACAGCAATGTTCAGTGAACAAGTCGGCGAATATTTGCAAAATTCAAACATTTAATTGAAGTGTAATTCTTAAGTTTATTCGGTAGCGGACTTCATGACGAAGTTGTTCCAATGCACAAGCAGATCCACAAAATGTACATTGTGTATAATGTAAAAATTCAAAAACTTATAGATCTATTCAGCGCCCTGCCGCTCCAAGATTAACCTTAGAATTGTTAGCTATGTCTGGTGATACTTTTAAAATAAAATTTGATGTATGCCGATGTCGGTATAGGTCCCTAAAATCTCTTCCCAACTCCAAAGAAAAAGTGATCTTAAAAAATAATAAAATATTCGAAATAAGTAATTAAGGTAGTTCATACTATATATCGATTAATATCGCGTGACTTCACAATCATGTTATTATACGTACTCCTTTGAAGGAAAAAATAAAAATAAAATTAAACTCCATGGCCCACAGTCGCGATTCACTTAAAGATGCGGCGACTGCAAATACCAATGCGGCCGTCAAGGTTGTATTAAAAATAATTTTGCAGACATGTTGATTGGCTGCTGCCACTCAATCTAGAAAAAAACTATAAAGCTGCCAACTAAGCATCATATGTGCTTGAGTGAATTTTAAACGATTTTTTAAACGCTGTATTAAATAATACTTCGGCTCCTTCGAAATATTTATGAGGGTGCATAAAACGATCATTAAAAAGCCAAATGAACCAAATTCGTCTATTTGTTAACTCGTGTTTTCGACATTTGTTTTTAATTGCTTTTTGATTGGATGGCGAATTTAAATTAGAACAACTTTATTTTCAGAAAAAAGCGAAGCATGTAAACAATTCTGTACTCTAGCAAGATCGGAGAGCATAAAAACATATTTTGACATAAATAAACAAATTGATAAGAACAATCTTTGGGATGCAACAAAAAAGAAGTAGCATGTCTTACATCTACTTACTATATTTAAGAACAATAGTTCTAGTACATACGTGAGGGTACAAACTGTTCGACGATTTATTCTTGTTTTTCTTGCTTCGAGCTATAAAAAGACTTCAACTTGAAAACAAAAACAATCAATCAAATTATAACAAAAAAATAATTAACATGAAATGTGCGCTCGCTGACAAAACAAGTTAAAGAAAATAAACATTGGAATGTTGAACGAGTTTATCAGGTCTGCTCCCAATTTTTGTATTTCATTCCATTTTGTCAAATGGAAATTTAAATTGGTGTTGTGATGAATGCCAATGTTTTTCTTTCATACTTGTATCACAAATTTTACGTTTTCTCACTTCTGACAAAAGTAAATAAACTTAAATTAAACCTATATTTTTATTACTCTATTAAAGGCTAATATCAAAAATGTTCTTCCTGACAACTTAGATAAGGGAATCATTCTCAGTTGTTTTGCAAATGTGTTACAGTTTTCTTTAGTGAATTGATTTCGCTCGTGTTTAATTTCCAACAAAAACGAATCTTAATAGCAACTGCAACTAAGATTTTCCAAAATACATTTTCAAAATTTTGCAAATTAATGTACAGCCAACTAGCTACGTAAGCGAGTATGGCCCACACCCAAGAACACGCTCCAAGTCATTGACAATAAATACAAAAGTTAGTCTGTGGATATTCCACCCAAGTGCAAAATGGCGTTAAGCATCAAATTTAAATGCACAACGTATAGTTAAAATATATTGTGAGTAGACACGTGCAGGAACCGTGCCCTAACCGACTCACAGAGGGAAAGCAACAACTGCGGCCAGTGGCGCATGAAAAGCATCAGACAAGGTGGCGTATGAGTAATGTAATTTTTGTTACCACGTTCACCTTAACAACAACAACAACAACAACGACAGTATAAGCAGCAACAGCATGAAATGTAAAAAGGTTCCGAAAATTAAGCAAATGCAAATACGCAATTTCGATGGGAAATTTATGTTTAGGTAGGTATTTGTATCGAATTCCTTTTTATATAATTTTATTTCAGAATCAATCATGCGTAATGCCTATTGAAATGGGGTCAGCAGGCAGGGCTGGCATCTCTTAGTTGCAGACAACTCTGGAAATGAAGCCATTTGGCCTCGAAGAAAAACTCAATGATATTATTATGGCATTGCCTCTTGATGGTTATTTTGTGTTTTAAAGTGTAATAAGCACTTAGAGTAAGTTATTTACGTGTACACATCCTCCGCTTAGGCCGTTTAGAGACAGCTACTTGCCCCTAATGCGTTTGTTTGCATACACACCTCACACACATGCAAACAAGACACACACAAACATAAATTGTAATTATAAGCAGCATCCTCATACCTACAAGGTGCGAAACATGCCACCAAATTTCACAAAAAAAAAACCCCCTTAACGAGTGTGGGTCACAACAAAAATGTAGGAAAAAGGGAGGCGAGAAAAACAGTTAATGCCTTGCCAACCGTAATAACAAAAACAGATGCTGCACATCCAGTCCTTCGAGATGCTTTTAGTATCGCGTCGTGTGACACATTTTCCCAAAAAACAGTGCACGGTAACGCTTTGAAAATCCGCCGCATTTCAAAGCTTAGCGGTATAAGTACTACATAATGCCGATACACATATGTATAGGTATAGTACATATTCGTATAAGCATACGTGTATTTCTGACATCGCATAGTTAATACATCTATTTCCCCTTGCTTAATAGTATGTACTTCGTCTTGTATTTCCTTAGAGACCAAATAGGTGGGGTGAACGTCTTATAAGCTGTCCATGATTCCACCTAATTCAGCGTATCTATGCGATAGTAGCACACACGGAGAAATTAACTCAATGCGACTATAAACAAAACATGGATGACTGACAAATGCAATGTTTTGAAACGATTGCTGATATGCAAATAGAGCAGATTTGGAATAAACGTCTCAATATATAGAGAAACATTATAAAATACCCTGTTACGAAATAAACTCTACCCAAAAAAAAAAAACTTCCTTCACTGTATTGTATAAATAAACAAGAGGGAATAATACAGTGGAATAGGCCGGACAATGAAATACTTTGTAACCTAACAAACTTCCAAAAATAAGAAGGACAAACCCGCTATGGCAGTTTGTGGGCGTAGGCTGGAGTCCCTAATAACTTCATCCTCTAATAACTTTTCCAAGAATTGGGAGAAATTTATATTCAATCAAAATATATATTTATTACGTGTGTAAAGTTTTGTTTATGTAGCCTTAGAAATTTGGGCAGTATTGACAAAGATTCCAGAAGTTCATTCAGATGGATGGACATATGTATATGTAGATCAATTTGTCTCATCATCTCATCATGCTGCTAAGTGATTTTACACCGATACTTTTTGCAGCTATAAAATATGTATGAAATATAGCTTTTAATGATACAAACTTTCAAAATGAATTAAAAATACGAAATACTGCCCCCCGTATCCTGCATCAAGGTATGATCGAAATGTAATTCACTATTTACTAAAATGTTAATATTTAAAAAGCGTAATTTTCGATAAGCCATATATTCGTATATGTCTAGGGTAATACCCGCAAAAAGGAAAAAATTGTAGAATTAGAGAGTATAAAATTCAACTTTAAATGTTTTTCACAATACGTTAGGGTATTAATTGAATTATACTAATATAAAAGTACGCGTTCATTTTTATTGAACAATCATGTTAACAAAGTAAATCTTATTTACTTCAATATTTTCATTCTAGTAGGATATAACACTTAGTATTCGTGGAAAACCAATAAAATTTTCTGCCTGTGTAGACATATTTTGTACCCATACGATACGAGAAGTAGTCTTTGCAGGTGCCAGGCATCTGACGTCAGTGCCAAAGACAAAACCTCTAAGCAGTGGATTATCCCGCTGTCAGTCTATCTCAAGTTTTGTCAGCTCTTCCATCCTTCCTCCCTCCATATACTCGCACATATATATAGTATACTAAGTA